CGAGCGAGCGCGAAGGGGAGAGGGAGCGGCGAGGAGGCCGGTCAAGTGCACACCGAGAGACAGAGACGCACGTGCGAGTGGGCACAGGAAGGATAGGCGGATGAGGATGAGGAGAACGAGGAAGAGGTGGCGAAGGAGGCGGAGGAGGTGATGGAGGAGGAGACGGCGGAGGAAGGTTAAACCGTCGGGATCGCGGAGGGGAAGAGAAGCCGAGAGCCGATAATCTCCCGATTCCCCGTATACTACTTTCTCTCCCTTCTCCGAGGCCGGCCGACGAAGAGGATGCCGCGCGGCGAACGACCGCTCGACGAGGATCGAGGATCGTCTCCGCTGCTTCTCCTCGGCTCCTCTCGTCCTCGAGCCCGAGCCCGAGCCCGAGTCCGAGCCCTCGTCGTCCTCGCAGTGACGCGCGCGCGCTCCCAGCGTCGTGACGACGCCTCAGCCCCGTAATACCCCTCCTGCAAGTGCACCCGGAACCGCGCCCCAGCATGTCGATCCCCGGATCGCCGTCGATCGGGCCCCGTTCGCCCTCAACCTCGCTTCGCACTCCCCTGCGCGTGGCCTTGCCGCCCCGACGCATCCACCACTTTCCACCGCCGCCTGCATCACGCGCCCATTATTTTTCCGCTAAATCACGAACGCGCCTATGGCGCGCTACTCCGCTCTAATATAAAGTTCGAGCCGAGGCCCGCGAAGAGAAATGCTGATTAAGTGAAGTACTCGCTCGAGGTAAGAATAGATAGGCTCGGGCTCGGCCAGCACAATAACTTGTTTTATATTACACGACCGGCTCCGCGAGCAAAATACCGAGAATTCTGCGCGCATTGCGTAATATCCCAGTACCATAATATAAAAGTCTTAAAAACAAAAAAAAAACAAAAAACAAAAAAAAAAAAAAAGACAATAACAACAACAGCAACAACAACAAAATAAAAAAAACTACCGGCGAGTGCGTGCCTTCGTTAGCCGGCGTTCAATTTCCAATATTTACCATCATTACAAAGAGTGCGCGCAAGGGTTGTATTATTTATGGGACGAATAATATCCGCGGCATGAATAATGAATAAATGAATAATGCCGGCTAAACTGCCTGATTCAGGACTTTTTCACATTCGCCTCCTTCACAATGCCAACGAATACTTTGTGATTTCATATACTCACTTATCCAGTGTATTATTCTCTATTTCGTATAGCTTCGCCATCCATACGTATCGCCAATGCAAAATAGTTCGGCAGGACGGGGGATTGTAGCTAATGCTGTTATTGTTATTATTGTTATTGGAGTGGGGCGGCCGTAGTCGCTATTGAATTCATTAGTACGAGTGAAAAACAAGCGATATTTATTCCCCTCGCTGTCATTCAATTAACCTCGACGAGGTATATAGAGTAAAATACTCGATGGCTCGGGTGGGAAAGGGGAGTCCCCTAGCTCGAGCCATAACTTAATCCGGCCGTAAATGCACGAAGTTAGAAGGAAAGGCGATCGAGGCGCATTGCAATACTTGCGAAAGCGTCGCTCGCCCCGGCAAACTAGTGGCACGACACGCGTGTCGAGATCGATCAGCGGTGCACACTTCTCGCGTCCCGCCGTCTCGCGGCTCCGTGAACTCTGGCCCCGTCCGTCGGCTGGGCCTGAGCTTTCCCCGGCTCGACAGACAAGCAGATAGAGAGACAGAGAGAGACAGAGAGAGACAGAGAGAGAGACAGAGAGAGAGACAGAGAGACAGAGAGAGAGACAGAGACAGAGAGAGACAGAGAGACAGAGAGAGAGAGAGAGACAGAGAGAGACAGAGAGACAGAGAGAGAGACAGAGACAGAGAGAGACAGAGAGACAGAGAGAGAGACAGAGACAGAGAGAGACAGAGAGACAGAGAGAGAGACAGAGACAGAGAGAGACAGAGAGACAGAGAGAGAGAGACAGAGAGACAGAGAGACAGAGAGATAGAGAGATAGAGAGACAGACAGAGAGAGAAAGAGAGAGAGATAGAGATAGAGAGAGAGAGAGAGAGACACCCGCGCGACTTACGTAACGCGATCGACGCGGCCGATCGAGCTCACACACGGCGATGCTCCGACTGTCCACAGGCGTACCTGCAGGCGGTGCGCAACAACCGGGGCGACCTGAGGCTGGCCCTCGCCGAGTCGACGCGCCAATTGTCCGGGCAGCAGTCGTCGCCAGGGCCCCGAGTCCTCCAGCACACCACGAGGTCGAACAAGGTCGTCGACACGGAGCGCACGCTCGAACGCAGCGAGCTCAAACAGGACGGGCAGATCGTCACCGAGAGGAAGACCACCGTCGAGCACGAGGAGGTGAGAATTTTTAGCCCTACCGAACCACAGACCGTCCACTATTTCTCTGATATCCACCTCTATCTTTGCCTCCGACTCGACTCTCCCCCCCCCCCCCCCCCCCCCCCCCCCCCCCCCCCCCCCCCCCCCCCCCCCCTTCCCCTCCCTCCGACATCACCCAACCCCATGGCCCCGTGAGCGCACACCACGCGTACCTCGAGTCGTACTATTCCGAGTGCACGGGGACATCGAATTGACTTTTTCTTGCTGGCAAGCATCTCCCGGTTAATTTAGGAAATTCGCCAGTTTAGCCGTACTTACCTTATTGTTCAATAATTCGCGCGTTTTACCGGAGCATTTAACGATCGTCGCATTAAGAGCCTCGTAACAACAACAACAATTAACATCGGGATTTACAATAATAGTTATTTACAATATAGTTGTTGATTGATTGCTATAATTCACAGTACACTTACGTATGCTTGTAATTATTTATTTTTATTAACCGGCTTTTCTGCTCCTTTATTTACCCGTTAATCAATTTATTCGCATGTTTTTGTTTTTTTCTTTTCTTTCGTCAATGTTGCTATTATTAATATTATGATAACAAGTCTTATTATTTATGCGACCGAATGTCGTGTAACGCGTCTATATAAATGACAAATGTAATTGAAACGCGCGAGGGGTAAAGAAAGGGGGACGAGGCCATTGGCGATAAATAATAATCAGGAACGATTTTTCGACTTTACGTACGATCGTGCAATATCTGACGCTTGACTGGTATTGTCTCGGCTCTTCGACGCGAAAATTCAAAAACTTTTAACGACACTAAAGTATTAAAGGTATTAATAATGGCCAATCGATGGAGAGAAATTTATTTTCATCTTCGGAATTGAGGTGTTGCGCGAGGCAAGACGTATGACTCCATAACCATCGCCGCTAATTGAATAAATGACCAAAGTTTTTGACAAGTGTTAAAGCGTTGTGGGGGCTCGAGCAATTAAATTATAAAACAATGAACATCTGCCGAAATGAAAGTTTATGCGCGCGAGAGATGAGTTGTAGAGGAAGGGGCTCTCTCTCTCTCTCTCTCTCTCTCTCTCTCTCTCTCTCTCACTCTCTCGCCTTATTCACTTCACGTCACATCGCACGCATATAAATTCTTTCCTCGGCGAGACAATTGCCTTCGTTATTTATGTACGGGAAGATTTAATATTATCTTAAGCAGCTGCTGATTTGACTATTACACCGCGCTGTAAACTCGGTAATGGCGAGAACACTTGGGCCCGCTTTTCACTTTTTCCCAATGATTAATGTCCCACTCGACGATTAACAATCGCGCTCGTGCTCCCGCAAGCGAGTTCGCTTTGCACTTTACATGCGCGTTCGCGCGCGCACCACGATTTATGAATACGGCGCGAGACAAGCAACGGATGAGATTAATCAAATGAGCATAATTAGGCGACTTTCTAATGTCACCTTTCCCTCGGCGCGTCGGCGGTGAATTTTCGAATTTTTGAATCCAGCCCAAAGCCCTTCCCCGAGTCCCCTCGCCTCTCACACGTCGTGTCTACGATATGTATGCTGAGAGCTGGACGAGGATAGGGACAAAAGGCAAAACAAAAACAAAAAAACGACAGAGAAAAAGATAAATAATGACAATTGTTCGCCGCTCGGATAAACGTATGGTGCGAGCGTTGAGGATTACGCGGAATTATGTTGCATCTGTCGATGATAAGAAACAAACAAACAAACAAACAACAACAACAACAATAACAACAAAAAAGTAGGAGAAAAAAAAAAAGAAATAACGAAGGAAATAAAGAAAAAAAGGCCTCGCACATCCGTGTTGCATGAGAAAAAATTGTTTCGAGATAATTATTCCGTCACGTAATGGTAGGAGGCTAGGGTGGGGGTATCAATTTATTAAATTACATTAACCGGTGGCTTCAAATCTCTACGCTTCAAAACACACACACGCACGCACGCACGCACGCACGCACGCACACACGCACGCACACACGCACGCACGCACACGCAAACACAAATTGCTTGATAACGATGTTACCTTTTACCTTTTTATTATTATTTTCAAAGTATTTCTTCCAATTTGAAGATTATAAACTTATTATATATTGTGACGCATAAAGGCATCGATAATATTTTTGCATCGATTGCCAATGAAATGCCAACTTAATGAAAACGTTAATTTTATTCGTTCGCGCCGGCATTTCCATGGTCAATGCTAGTCTAACGAGTTATCCAAGATCATTTTCTATTATATAAATTCTATCAATCAGCTCGAATAAAGCTTATTGAATGTTGTACAGGTAATTGCATCTCTCTCGTAAGCGGTAGTTTTCACATATCTTTTAATGAACTCTCTGATGGTGTTTAGCATTTTTAGCAAAAGGCATAAAAGTGTGATGATAAATTTTTAAAAATTGACCATTGAGAGGAGCTTTTAAAGATCCACCTCTTAACATTATATTCCATAGCTTAAAGAGAAAGCTAAAGATATTCGCATTCGAAAGTTATTTCCAATGAGAAAATAAACGATGAAATTAAACGAAGAGTAAGCGAATATAATGAGATATGCTAGCTTTAATGCCATTTAACGTTGCAAATGCTTATGTGAAAACATATAATTGGCCCACGGTCTTTCAACCTAGAATATTATTTATTATTCTCAAATATGCAAATTACATTATCATTATTATATATAAATGCACGCATACACAAACATGCTAAGCTTGATACGAATGCTCATTCAAAAACATCATTTTTCTTCTTCGTTTACGAGTAGGATAAATAATTACATGTAAAGTTTTCCATTTTATTCGAATACTTGTCGTGTCAAGAGTAACGAGAAAGTTGAAACTTATCCGAGGGAAAGAAGGTTGAAAATTATTTTAATAAAGTCTTTAAACAAATCGATTAAATGTATTATAAATAATTCACTCGTTTATTCCGGCTAATATTACGATCAAATCACGAAGCGAATAGATAATTATAATATAAAGCATTTGTAATTATTCCAGACGATTAAAATGGAAATGATTTATCGAATATGATTATAAATGATAAATGCCCGACGAATTACGAGATATTTAAGGTAGCTAATAATTTGAAAAATGTTATTTACGTTTATTGAAGCCCGAAGATTATCAAAATAAGAAATAGAGTACTGAAAAGAATAATTATTCGATGAATTTATAATAATAGTCCCTCGGCTATTATATATAAATAAATCAAGTTTCTAATTTAATTTTGTAATAAACGGCGCAAGACGGTATCGCGATGAGGAAATAAAATTAAAAAAAAAAAAAAAAAAAAAAAAAAAAAATTAAATTAAAAAAAAAATCACACTAATTGCATAATATAGCTTGGCATACTCTTTTTTCTTTTTTCTTTTTTCTTTTTTCTTTTTGAAAAGCAGCCGATCAATAAAATCAAACTCTAAGAAGACGCTATTTAGTATTCTCCATTAAAAAGTTAACGCGATCATTTTATACTCCATAAATGTCGTCCTTCGATTTGCTGTATCGATTTTATTGCGTTAATTATCGATCTGTTCAATGTCGCAGGAGAAATAAAATGTAAGGGCAAGCATAAGCTGATAATACTGAGTTATTAAAAATTTCCGCATAAGTGATTTTCGATGTTAACGACAGTTCTCTTTCCCCTACAAGCCTCTCGCTTATAAAATCCATAATCTTCCTTTTCTTTCCCTGTAAGTGCGTGTACGGCGTAAGGTCGGCGTCGCAACGCCGCCTTAAAGAAAGCAAAGAGGCATAAAGTACAAGCCGATTATTTTAAATAAAATTTCCGCTGCTAGTCTGCCCACCTGTCAGACGAATGATCCCATTGATCGGGGCCGTAATGATAAATCATTTCTTATGTGAAATACAGGCCGACGCCTTGGACATTACACACGGCTACTTTTCAGTGAACGCAAGGACTATTCGTCGGAAAGCCGTCGCTTTTCCTCTCCCAACACCAATCGCTCATATTCTTTCACTAATCCCCTCCACATCCCTCCGCTACCAAACACCCCAACACCCTAACACCCCACATTCCTCGACAATATTTCTAATAATGTTTCTAACCATTGGGTTTACGTAAACACACGCACGCGCCCATAGATAAAGGACGACGAGTTGCCACAGGAGCTCAAGGGTTCGGAGGAGATGCGGGAAACCCGGAAAGAGGCGACCCAACGCTACTCCAAGACTCGGGACGAGGACATCGTCGACTACGTCTGCAACGGGGAGCGGTTGGCTCGCGAGATGCGCTATGTCTCGGAGACGACGGAGGCGGAACGGACGGGAGATTGGCCATCGGAGCCGCGCTCCACGCGTCACCACAAACACGGTTCGTCCACGTTTGGAGCTTCATATTAACACCCAAGACGCGCGGCACTGAGCTCATTAACACCACCCCTCCTCCTCCTCCTCCCCCTTCCCCAAAACCCCGAATCCCGCTTTCATGTTTATATTATCACTTACCTGACCTTAATGATAAAAACATATATTTTGTCTCTTTGTTTGGGATTAATCGATCGCACGCGATACTAAAATCGCCATTGCCGACTGAGCCTCGACCGGCAGCTTCCCTTTCAGGGCTCTGCTTTCGAACGTTCACGAGAAAAAGGGATGGGTAGGGAGTTGAGGGGCAGGGGTGGGAGAACGAGCGAGGGTGAGTAGGCGGGAGGATGGGTTGAGGAAACTGTGAGAGGGGGGATATTATTTGGAGAGGAGAAAATAGAGAAGAGGCGATGTCAGCTCTCCTATCTATGCTGTAACTTTGATTCGAGCCTACGGAGGGATGAATGCAAGTACATTTTATTGCATTGGGATTACACGAGTGGCGATCCTTTCACGCGATCTGGTCAATGAACGATGATGCACACAACCTTGGTAAACGTCCGTCAACCTGGTGCTATTTATCAAAGCGATAAAACCTTTCCTCCCTGGAGCCTATTTACATATAAGATTATTATATTTTTCTAACATTACCGCAAGGATAACAAGGATGACAAAGGTACTTATTAACGATCGATAACGGTGGACGTTGTTCGTTGACCATCCAAGGACTCGCCATTGGGATAATAGGAATGTCGGTGGAACTCGGTGGCAACCGGATTGGTACTCCCGTTTGGCCAATCTGAACGCCAATTTACAAAGTTACAGCACAAGTCAAACAAAGTCCTTAAAGCGTTCTAATATCTAATGTCGCACGCTCTCTCTGTCTGTCTGTCTGTCTCTCTCTCTCTCTCTCTCTCTCTCTCTCTCTCTCTGTCACTCGACGAGCGATTGCTCGAAGGGAACTTAAACGCGCCCGCGACCTATCGGCCAAGTCCCAGACAGTTGTAACGGGTCCACGTCTTCAGACACGCCGAGCAGCGTTGGCGCGTCGCGTAAGGAGCTGGAGGAGGAGGACGAGGCGCGCAAGTTCGAGACGTCCAAGTGGCTGGAAAGCCACTTTGGCAGCGAGTCCCGCTCGTCCAAGGGCTCGATCGACGACGAGCCCGCCCCGGGCGGCACGAGTTACATCAACGTCACGATGAAGTCCTCGTGCGCGCCCCAGCAACGGCGCACCGTCAGGGAGCCGAGCTCACCCAGCCGCTACTTCCGGGGCATCAGCGAGTGGTCCGAGAGATACCAGTCCACGGGTGCGTCCGACACTGCGCAGCTTCCGCTTACATGTAGCAGCAGCCCCCGTTGTTTTTTTTTTTTGTTTATCTGTCTGTCTGTCTGTCTGTCTGTTTATTTGTCTGTTTGTCTACCTATTGTCTATTTATTTGTTTGTCTAGTATCCTTGCACATGCGTTAGCTCTTGGTCTCCGCTCTCGCGAAGAGCGAGACTAGACACTCCCGCGACCAGATACGTCACTGAAACTACTACTACTACTACTACTACTACTACTACTACTACTACTACTACTACTACTACTACTACTACTACTACTACTACTACTACTACTACTACTACTACTACTACTACTACTACTACTACTACTACTACTACTACTACTACTACTACTACTACTACTACTACTACTACTACTACTACTACTACTACTACTACTACTACTACTACTACTACTACTACTACTACTACTACTACTACTACTACTACTACTACTACTACTACTACTACTACTACTACTACTACTACTACTACTACTACTACTACTACTACTACTACTACTACTACTACTACTACTACTACTACTACTACTACTACTACTACTACTACTACTACTACTACTACTACTACTACTACTAGTACTAGTAGTACAAAATCCGATACCAATCATTGACGCTACTCCTAATACTACTGCTATTTTTGCTATTAATTGGTATAGTTTTCTTGCTTCTTACAATGTATCTTGTTACCTTTTCCTACGCGCTAACTTGGTGTTGGTTTGTTGCAGACCTTGGCTTTTCGCGCTTTCTCAAATGTCCAGTCAACAAACAGTCCTCGAGTCAATTGTTCATACCCTTACTTTCATTTTGGTGTATCGATTAACTTTCGTCCCGACCATCCTTACTAACGTGGTGCTACGGTAAGATTCGCTGTAGTCTGGATACGATACGAAAGGGCTTCCACGGAGTTCATAAAGACGCAGGATCATAAAGTCACGTGCATCTTTCCTCTCTCTCCTTCAGAAAAGCAGCATAACGATGTCCGAGCCAAGTCACCGCCTCAGTACATCCTGGAAACGACTAGGGAATCGACGCACCTGAACGGCCATCAGCCGTCGCAGGAAAGCCAAAACTCGAGGAGTCAGAAGGAGACATCTTACGCGCGTAGTTACGACATGTCGCGGCGTCATCAGGAACGTCACTCGCCCCCGCATGAGACGCGCGAGAAGCCGAAAATCGATCCGCCATCACCGCCGCTTCGCAGGAAAGCTCGAGAGCAGGTCTGTCATTGATTTATTTCAAAATCCCCGAAGCGAATCGCTTTCATCGATGCCTTTGACTCTTTGGACTCTTAACAATGTCCGTTCTACTCTCGCTCGGAATCGCTTATTCTTACAATACAATAATCATGAAATTTATAAATCTTTTAATTGATTGCTCAGCCTACGTATATTGGTATTATTCCATTAATAATCCGATACACGTATGCGAAGGTGATCGGTCGTTAGCTAATTTATAACCGATTGATGATTAATCAGGCTCGAAGTGTGCCTGCTTTTAAAGGCAAACAAAATACTCTTACCGATCGACTTAATGTGGATAGAACAAAAAACAAAACAAAACAAAAAAGAGAGAAAAAAAACCAAAAATCTCAGAATAAAGTGGAGTTTGCCGAACATGGAGGATCGGTAGACGCCAAAAGGATCTAAATCGTATCCCCGCAGCCCCATAAAGTCCCATATGCATTGTGCATTACAGCAGGCGACGAAGACAAAGTCGAGGACGGAGCGGGTGTACCAGCGGGAGCGGTCGCTGGAGCGCGCGGGCAGTCCGGTGCACGTGGTGCAGCGCACGTGGGAGAACCGGAGCCGTGACGCGTGGGAGGAGCGTCGGGGTCGAGGGGGAACCGAGTCCAGGTCGGTCTCGCCCTCGCCCGCGAGGACCGACGGCAAGAAGGACGACCACGGCAGACCCTCCAAATGTAAATTGCTTTCTTTTCCTGTTTTCCACTTGGCTTGTGCCCACTTTGCCCATCCCTTCCCTCTTCATCCCCCGCCCGC